GACAGAGTGAGAGTTGTGTGTGCGAGTATATATTTTCACGATTATCCTTACTGTTTGCTTGGCTGCTCTATTTGCACCTGGCACACACGACACACGACACACGCCGTGCAGCCTGCAACACTTAGTCAAAGGTGGCCACACCCACCCGCCATGCGCCATGCGGTAAGCGAGTTTGTTAAACAGTGTAAAGTTACACGCAACTAAGCACTTAACAGCACAAAAGCTCTACCAATAGCGCGGGCGGCAGGGGCAGTTGCAGAGGGCAAGACGTGGCACAAACTGCACACAACTTGCAACCGCAAGCGTAGCCGCCAGCGTCGACGTCGACGGCGAGACATGCAACCTTGCACTTGGAGTGGGCGCCCTGCTCAGGCAAACGGACAACCGGGCAACGGCTAAACTCTAGTTGCGTGTCCTTTTATGAATGAGTCCGGCAGGCGCAACAAATGTTAATCCGCGACCCCGCTGAAAGGTCGTCCACTGGCTGGCTGGCTGCCTAACCGAAGCCGCACGGCCAACCACCACCGAGTGAGCAGCAATTCCCAGCACTGGGTGGCCTGGGCAGTAACTCGGTCTGTGATTAGGCGTAAATTGAAGCGCAGGCACAGGGCTCACAGTGTCCAATCCTCTGTCCACTGTAGCTTGAAGTCTGCTTTGTGTGTGCGTGTGTGTGTGTGTGCGCGCTGCAAAAGGGCAAGCACTGTAAACAGACACAGCTGGACATTGACAAGAGGGCAGGGCCTGGACTGTGCTCACACTGGACTGGCCTGGCCTGGCCTGGACAGGACAGGACTGTGTGCGGTTCTGTCGTGTGGCTTGTTTTGGTTATGGCCAGAAAGAACTGGCCCATCAATTTTTGCCGGCTCTGAAAGCACGGAAAGCGTTTAAGCTGAACCTTGAAAGCGACGTGGCTGCTAGTTGAGTTAAAGCGAAGATAAAAGAACCCAGAAAAATGATAAATAAGTCTATTCATTAATATAACACACAGAGCGGACAAGTAAGACATTAATCTTTGGAGCAGAGAAAGTATTTTGCACTAAACTAAATACAGTACGCCCTCGCTCAATGCAACCCATTAAAATCAGGCCAATTGTGAAAATAGTAATAATCTTATTTTATTCGATTTACTTTCGAAATATGGAATAATATATGAATTATATAAATTCCATGAAGCTAAAAGCGCCCCGAAAACAAACACAGACGCATGCATCATGCGTGGGAATCCCAAATCTATATTTTTCGATAGAGATGAACGAACCATATGAAAAAAAAAGTGATTGAAAAAGACTACAACAAAAGATTTCCTGTTGCGTTAACTGAGTTGATTTTTTAGTATAATGTTGGGTGTGGTATCGAGGTTTACGTTGAGCGAGGGCGTACTGTACAGCATCAAACCCTTACGGAAAAGTAAACATAAATAATCTGGGATTTGTTTAATATATCGTACTATATACACCAGTATCTTTCGCTTAATAATTGTTAATTTGATTAAAATAAATCTTAATTTGTTTACTTAATGTTCACTTAAGAATTATCTGAGTAGAAAATAAACATAGGGCATTAACTTTGTCGAAAATAAACCGATGTTAAAGACGAATACCATATTATTCTTTTAAAATATTTAAAATATTTATTTAGATTAATAAATAAATGAAATCGATTTGCGGTTCTTAATGGACATTCTGGGCTTTTAACTCTGATAAGTTCATCTTAAAATTTTTATTTTAATTAGATTCCTGATATCAGAATCATACTTACTTGTGAGCAAAATCACAAAAGTTTTGACTGCTAACCTCCCTTTCTTGAGCTTCAGTCTGATGCATTAACTTTACGCTTATTCGTTGAGTAACAAACAAAATTCAAGTAAATTTTTAAAGCCAGTATTAATAAACTGAAAATCGCAGTTCCAATAGCCAAGTGATGTATTTTAAAGAGCCTTTCGAATATTCCTGGTATATCGGGCATTGTGTGCAGGCCAGTTAATCTGACTACAAAAGCCATGCAGTTAATCGGAATCGGGTTTGCCACAGGGCACACTAATCAAGGACACGCATCAATGCACCCCACCACGAGCAGTGCAGAGCCCCCAAGAGAGAGAGCCGCAATGCGTGTTGCATGACCAGCGAATGCGGCAAGAGCAACAATCAGCTGGCCAGGTGAACGGGCACACGGAGGGGGTGGTGGGTTAAGCTAGAGCCGTCTGGCATTAAATGGCAAAATTTAAATTCGTTTTAAAAGGATTTCGGTTTGGCCTCTGGGAAATTTGCTGCCTGCAACCTGTCGCTACTGCGAGCTACGCCTTGCAACAACTTACGGCATGCAATTTATCAACGGCTGACAAGATGTCGCCTCTGCCTGTGCTGCCTGCTCGTCTGTGGTGCTGCATAATTGCTTTGTGGCTTGAGGATTACACATACTCTCCCTTTTTTTTCGCTGCTGCCCAGACTCTACGAGCTGTACGGACTACCTGCCTGCTGACTCACTTAAGACAGCGTCGCTCACTAAGCCGTCGGCTTGGGCTGATTTGCGGCAACCGCCAGTGGCGGCTTTTAAGCCTTAAATGCATTCAGCTCATTTAATTTGCAATGCGCGGCAAAAAACCGACCAAACCACCAGCAGCTTTTATCTCTCTCTCTCTCTCTCTCTCTCCCGGGGTCTCTCCCGCTCTCACTCTGTCTCGTTTATTATATAATTAAGTTAAAGTGAGCGGCGGCTGGCAATTTGCGTGAAGCTGCCAGCTCCCAGCTCTACCCCCATTTGGATTTGACAGCTCTGCACGCTAATTTCTTAATTTTCACCTTCCGCTTTTGCGGTGGCAAGTAGCTAGCAGCAGACTCTGCAGAACCAGAACCAGAACCAGAACCCATAGCCGTAGCCACAGTCAGACCCGTAGCCGTGTGAAGCACAACCCCTTTTTGTTGGCTACCCAAAAATCATTTCCGTATTTCTATGTCTATTATTATTATTATGACTTTTATTGTTATGCTCAACCGCCGGCTGCCGCCGGAGCTGTTATCAACACCCGCAACAATGGCGCGACGACCCCAGCGCAGCTTCAGGCTTAGGAACCAACTGCCCAGCGCCAACCCCCTTTGGCTGATTGCTGTTGCCGTTGCCGTTGCTGTCGCTGGTTCATTCGCGCGTTAAATGTGCTTGGCGGGGTGGTGGGGGATAGGGGGAGGGTAGTAAATGAAACCCCCTCGATTCGATTGAAACTAGGAATGGTTGATGCTTTCGCCCTGCTCTTTGGCTCGATGGCCGTTTCGTGTTCAATTTAGCGTCATAATTTCGTTTATGGCATGGACTGTGCTCACTTTTTACCCACACCCGAACAGCCCCTAGCCCCCTGCTCCCTGCTGCACCGCCTACTTGCCACTTCGCCCTGTCACAGTTGCTGTCAAGTGTTTTGTTAAGTTCATCAAAATTGTCGCCGGCTGCTTCTGCTGCTGCTCCCGCTGCTGCAGCCTCCACTTAACGCAATTTTCAGTTGCGGCAGTCGCGTCTACTTGACTGTCATTCATGCACTCATTTCATTCATTCATTCATTCATTCACTTAGCCATTCAAGCAGTTCACGCCATTTACAGTTACAATTAATGTTTGTTTGCCTGTCGCCCGCATCGCCCCACACACACACACGCACACACACACACACACACACACACACAACATCAAAGCAGTCCCAAGGCATCCTGGCAGCCTCGCCCCCCCCCCCCCTTCTCACCACCCCTGACCCCTCACAGTCTTATCAAAGCAGCTAAAAGCTTGCATATTTCATAAGAGCCAAGTTCATAAAAAAAGTATAAAAAAAATACGTCGAAAATGCGAATCCGACAAGCCCGGCCAATTGCCCCCAGGGAGCATGAAAGGGTCGTCGTGTGGCAAAAAGCGCAACCTTTGTACCAAGCAACAAGCAACGTTCAACATAAATAAATATTTTTGCTACACTTTACACCTAACCTGTTCCGCCTTTGGGACAACGCTCTGCCCCTTCCCTAGCCCATCTGGCTGCTTGGGATGCTTTTGGTCAGCTGGGGCTTGTCATAAAGTATGTTAAATATTTGCTGAACAAGGTGTGTTCACTAATTCGAGAGTCCTGTACCGGAGTTCATTAGATTTGTGCCTCGCAACTCAATTTTCCAGCAGACGAGAAGAAGAGAATAGATGGTAAGTGGAAAAAAATGCTGCAGCGACTGCAAGTGGCAGCTGGTCACACTGACAAAACAGCAACTGGTTCTTGTTGTGTGCTCATATAATAGAATTATTTTTACCCTATTATAATTATAACATATAGCCTTCCAAAGAATCTATCTGTTGTAAGTAGAGTTTTTTAATGAAAAATCTAATAAATTACATTCAAAATCGTGTACTATATCATAAAGTAAGCTTAAAAACAATCGATCCAAATATTAATTCTTGTATAAAATATCTAAACCATACTCAGAGTTAATGAGAAAATGAAGGTAAATCCTAACTTAACGAAATTTACCAAACACGGTTATATACACTTGTCAGCAACAGAATTGTACAAAAATAAAATGATCTGCCCAAATAAATAAATATATAAATATCCCACATTTACCAAATGTCTGCAAGGGTATTTACTACGAAGCTAACTGTTCCTACTCTTATTTATTTGTTTTCTTTTCTTTTTACAGCAATTTTTTTGCACTTTGGCGGGCATTCGCCTAAAAGCGTGCAGGCATTTTTTTGTTGTTTTTTTCTTTTATTTTTTTCCTTTAGAGCTGCTTTTGATTTGATTTCGTTTATGTTTTGAGTTTGTGCCTTTTGTCATTTACTCAACTACCACCCTAATTTGTTGTTGTCGTACACGTTTTGCATACAAAGCAAAAATACAGAACACACACACATGTATTTAACATGTATACAGGGGTAAACCAGCTCATTATGTACAAACATGCAAACACACACATACACAAACATCATGCAAGAATGTTTGTGTGTGTGTGTGTGTGTGTTGGCTGCAACTCTTTTACATACTTTGTGATTGCACCTTAGCGTTTCACTTCTGCTGCTGCTCCTGTTGTTGTGACTGCTGATGCTTCTGCTGCGTCGAACGATTTATGCACTTAACATAATTTAATTTCCCAAAAAGTGCCGCAACCAACAACAATTCAAAGCTAGCACTTGGCACACAGACACTTCTTGGTTGTTGTTGTTTTTGTTGTGGTTGTTGTTACGGCTTTGTTTTGTTTGGTTTTGCTTTCCTTTTTCTTTTCTTTTTTTTCTGTTGTTGTTGTTGGGAGGCCTTTAATCAAAAAGCAACAACATCACTAAAATGAAAACAAGCACCGCGCGCGGAGTAAAAGGCAGGCACCAGCTTCCAAAGACTTGGACGAAACGGGTGCTGCAGGCGAATTATTCGCGAAACACTCACAGTTGCACTCACACAAACACACACTCAAATAACTCGACGTTTGCTATGTTTTCTGTTTTATTTGACAATCGTTTTGCTTCCGCACCGTTTTAACACGTCCACTCGCAATGCAAGTCGTCGCGCAACTGAAAACTGGAAATGAAACCAAGTGTGTTTCTGTTGCTGTTGCTCTTGCTGCTACGGCCGCTGCTAGCGCCGCACAGTGGCTCTCTGAGCATGTAACGGGTGTGAAAACGAACTAGCCAATAGGAATGTGAAACTGTGCGAGAGAATTGTTGCAATTGCAATTTTTGGACTTCGATCAGTATTCCTGAAGGCCAGATGAAAAACTTTTGGGATATAATGTTACAATTTTAAATAGGAGCTTAACCTGGCTTCGGCTCAGGCAATAATATATCTTTGTGTTAGCAAAGTATTCTTCATGTCCAGTTGCTTGAGTGAGTCCGGATGTTCAGCCGAACAAAAGCAATGTCTTACAAAAACTGATTTATATATATACAACTTTTGCAAAACTCTTCCATTTTGTAAGATATGTATACTCTCTTTATGGCTTAAACATTTTAAATATATTCGTAAGTTTTTCTCTCCTAGCACAAAATATTGTTTCACTGTGCGACGCTCGATGATGTTGCTGTTGCTATCGTGTTTATGTTCTCTTCAAGCCATTGCTGATGCTGCTGATTTGGACTGTTCTCTGCAATGCAATCGCATCACCAATCGCCATCGACGGTCGGTTTGATTTTTGTCTGCGGTCGCATTAAAGTAAAGCGCAGTGAAATGAAGCGCATAATGTAAAAGCGATAATTAAATTCAATTGAACATAGAATTAATGCAGATGTGCGCCGACAATTGAAAGATAATTGTATATTCGAACTGATGGAATTTAACATGGGGAATAGCTTTATCAGCTAGAATCTAACTTAATAAATGCTCACGATTAAACTAATTTAGCATATTTTTGTTAAACTCTATTAAATAACGTATAAATGTAATTCATTTGAGAGCATCCTACCAGAACTCAAGTAAGGCGCTTGAGGCATTTCGTAAAACATCCAGCCTAATTAATTAGCCGGATAGTTTTTATTTCGGCCAGGTCTGCAACAATGTTTCGTCTGCCACGCGTTCCGCACTGCGCACTCTCTTAACCGGCGACGGCTCTCTTAGGCGCCCACGCAGCGCGCTCTCTTTCCACGTAGCGCTCTAACGGTAAACTTGGGTGCCGGCACACTGACAATTGGGCACTGCGTCCGGGCACACTGGCACGAGCGTACTGATAGAAGAACCCTGTGTGAGGCGAAACACTTTGGTGCTCTTTGGGTGCCATACTCATTTCCGGTTTCCGTTGCTTTGTGTGCGTGTTAAATTTGAATTGCGTAGCGAAGTTTGGCGCGCTGCGACTCGGTTTTATACGGTTTTATTTTTGCGTATTGCAAATTATGGAAAACACATTAATAGTCAAGGAGAAGGCCGCCAGAGCTGGCGGATGTTTGTAATTTCCATGAGCGATGACGACAGCACCCATTGAGGAGGACAACAGCCCTTACTTGCTGGTGTACCTTTATTGTGGGCGTGTCTCGTTGGCCAAATCGAATTGTCTGTGTGCAACTGAAAACTCATTTTATTAGCTGCCAATTGCCGGCAATGAAGAGAACTTCCCTTGAAGCAGGCTAATCAACGTCTAGGCAGCATAGCCCACAAAGAGTTGGGGAGCTTTGAAGGTTCAGCGTATGCTGATAACGCGCTGCATTGATAAGATAAGACCAGCTGGTAGCGCTAGTATTGGGGCGAAAGCTTCTGTCTTTTGAAATAAACCCAATTAGTCACTAGTTGGGTTGAACGAAAGACGGACATGGACGATACGGACTTCTCGCTCAAGTTTGGCAACAAAAATAAGCACAAGAAAGACAAAGCGGATGCCACGCAAATCGCCAAGACGCCCACATCGGAGGCGGATCTCAAGCGGATTATTATTTCCAGACCAACCACCGATGATACCTACGAGAGTTGTACACGCGCCGGCGTAGCCCTGGTCCTTAATCACAAGGATGTCAAGGGTCAGAAACAGCGCGTGGGCACCGAACGGGATCGCGATGATATAGAACGGTCCCTGCTTGGATTTGGGTTTGATGTTCGGCCCTACAACGATCTGACCTTTGCTGAAATCAACGACATGCTTAAAGAGGGTGAGTAATGCCTGTTTATGTGGAATATATGCTGCTCTTTCGGATGCATGTGTTCCGAGTCTTAATGGGAAATTCTTTTTGGTTGCAGTGGCTCGTGAGGATCACAGCGAAAACGATTGCTTTGTGCTGGTTGTCATGTCGCATGGCTCAGAGGGCAAGGTCTATGCCAAAGTAAGCATGAATTAAATAGATTTATACAAGCATTAAATAACTTTAAAGATTTTCTTCAGGACATGTCCTATCCCGTTGAGCGCCTGTGGAATCCCTTCCTGGGCGACAGCTGCAAGACGCTCGTGAACAAACCGAAGCTCTTCTTTATACAAGCCTGTCGTGGCGAGAACTTGGAAAAGGCTGTGGAGTTCACAGCTTTCTCGGTCATGACAAGGGAGCTTGCCCCAGCAGCGCCTCCAGCAGTACAGCCGGTGACCTATGCCATACCCAGCACAGCTGATATGCTCGTCTTCTACTCAACTTTCGAGAGTAAGTGAGAGCTGGTGCTCAGTTTGGTTAGTTAGTTCTAATACCATTGGCATTCCTATTCACATTTCCAGAGTACTTCTCGTTCCGCAATGTGGACGACGGCTCCTGGTTCATACAGAGCCTCTGTCGAGTGCTCGACAGCGCGGCTGCCAACGAGGCCAGTCAGCCGGAGGGCATTGATTTGTTGCGTCTGCTGACCGCTGTCAATCGCAAGGTGGCCTACGAGTATCAGTCGAATACGAAGAACGAAGCGCTCAACCAGATGAAGGAAATGCCAAACTTTATGTCCACATTGACCAAAACCTTTCAGTTGCGCGTTAGGCCAAGGTTCTAGGGGCAAACAGCTGAGTCAGCCGAGCAGACAATACATAAGCAAGTTGTGTGTTAATGTATCAAATATTTTGTATCTGTATCTGTATCTGTAAATGTATCCGTATCTGTGTATCTATCGATCGTGTTTCTTGTCGCACTTATCTGGAATTGCGCTAATGCCGCTGGGGCGCGATAACGAGCTGTGCCAATCGCACTCAAACCTAAATTTATAGCTGTAGTTAGATTGTTAACAGCGCGCCAGACCCTAAGAAGGTTGTGTGTGTGTGTGTGTGCGTTTGGGGAGTTAGCAAGCTCTGTTGCAGTTGGCCCGAGCTTTAGTCGCATTGGACATGCCAAGCTTGCCACACTTTGGTGCACTGTGCCTGCTGCTGCTGCTGCGTCTGTGGCAAACGCTGGGCCTGGCTCCGCTCAGCTTTAGCTGTGGGCGTGGCGCACGCTGCCGCCGCGCGATAACGGCCAGCGCCGCGCTGCAGTGGCTCGGCCTATTGGCGCTATCACCGCTGCTGCTGCGCGAGAGCGTGGCCCTGTACGCGACGACCAACGTGAAGCACTCAAAGCTCTTCGGGCGCATTGCACTGGCCACCATGGCCGGCGATGTGGGCATATCGCTGGCGCTGCTGGGCGCGCACATCTGGCAGCGCCAGCGCCTGGCCCAGCTGCTGAATGGTCTGGCGCGTCTGCAACGCAGAACCAGGCTGAGCTGGCCCGCAACGCTTCTGCTGTGGTGCAAGCTGTTGCTCTCGCTCTACGAGCTGCTCTGCAATGTGCCCTTTCTGCAACAGAACGCGGCTCGTCTGCCCTGGCTGCAGCTGCTGGCCTATGGCGTGCAGCTCTATGTGCAGCACATGAGCAGCGTTTTTGGCAACGGCGTATTTGGTGCACTGCTGCTGTTGCTGGCCGGCATACAGCAGCTGGAGCTGCAGTGGCAGCAACTGACCCAGGAGCCAGGCCAGCAAGAGCGTCTATTGCGGCGGGAGCGACGTTTGCTGGTGGTGTGCGAGAACTTTATCCGGGTCTTTCAGCTGGGCATCTTTCTGCTGGTCATTGGCAACTTTATCAACATTCTGGCCAATATGTATGCCTACATGTCCTACTTTGTGGAGCAGCACGGCGTACCGCTGACCATTTCCAACTATTGCCTGATAGTCGCCGTTCAGCTCTATGCGATGATACTGGCCACGCATCTCTGCCAGCTGCGGCACACACGACTGCGTAGACGCTGCCTGGAGCTGTGCTATGTGCCGCAGGAGCTGACCAAAGAGCAGGTGGGTGAAACTTCAGCATTTGAGCACTTGAGCACTAGCTTTTAGCTCACTCTGCTTGCAGGCCATGCGCCCCACGCCGTTGCTGATGTGGCCCGCGGATTGCCTGAAGTTCTCCATTTTGGGCCTCTTCAACTTGGACAACGCCTTTTGGCTATTTCTCGTCTCGTATGCCGTCAATTTCATTGTCATCATTTTGCAGTTCACTGTGGAGCATTCGAAGCGCTGAAAGCTTTTTGTTCCGGATTGTGCATTTGCTGCTGCATTTGCTTAGCAGAGACAGCCACCATGCCGTGCTAGCGCCATCTATCTGTCAGAGTCGGGTATTACCGACTACCTTTGCATTGGAACTTGTCTTTAATCTTATGTTTTTGTTTGTTTCTTTTTATGGTGTTTAAGTAAACGCATAAACTGGATAAGAAAGTAGCCAAAAAATCGAGAGCCGCCAACATAAGCAAAACAAGTTGCAACAAAGACGACACCTGCTTTTTTTTTGGCTACTTGTTTGTAATACTCCCAAGTTGTATACTATTTACTAAGTGAGTGAGTAGTAAGAAAATAATTGTTTTTTTAATAATTGGAATAAGGCATTGAACTACATTTTGATATTTGCTTAATTATATAATAGCCATATATGTTAATAGAAAAAATAAAGCATCCTGAGCTGTGAGGAGCCGAGTAGACCCTTAGGTAACCGTATTACGACAATCCGGGTTTGAACACCTAGACTATTGGGTAGATGTTGTTTTATCTTAGCCTATGGTCGTCATAGTTAGATCTATTCAGAAAATTGGATTGGCAATATAATAACTATAACCATGACCCATACTTATAAGATTTATAGAGGAGAGA